CAAGTTTCTTATTAGTTTCAAAGTTATTTAATTTTTTTGGCTGCTTTGATTCTTATATAAAATCGTGTTTTATTAGTAAAGTTTATTTGCAAAGATAAAGTAGTATTATGATTTTAATTAAGTTGTTTATATACTAATAAAACTCTAATAAATATTCGTGCAAAAGTTCATTTGGATCCACTTACTCGTTTAAAAGTTATTTACCTAAAATTGCAGCAAAATATAGTAATTGCGCTGCATAAGCCGTTAAAAGCCAAATAATTTGTTGTTTTGTATTTTGCAATTGGTTTCAGGGCATATTTACGACAAAATTTTTTTACTATAATAATATTACCTTTTTTCAGTTAATTTTTTGGCTGATATTCTTTAAAAAGCCATAAAACATCTTTAATTTCACAGAATTTATAATAGATGGAAACAGAACGAAATATATCTTTTTTTAATCAAAAGTATTCAAAATGATTAAATTAAATTTACTAATATAAGGCTATAGTTAACATAAATAGATATTTTCTAAATTTATATAGAAACAAGATATGGGAAGTTTTATCTCTTTCAATTACATTTTGAAACAAAGAACAAGATCGACTGAATGTCAATTTTTATGCAGCGTGAAGTAGCGATCGCCCTTAACGTACATCTCCGATCAGCCGGACAAAACTCGGCCGGCTACCGCTCGTATTCGATAATTGTTAATGAATAAATATAAGTCTCGCACAATAGAGCGCCCATATGCGACCGGACGTGAGTGACAATGGCTCGCTGTGATGCTTATGAAGTGACAGGTGACGCTTTCGTTTTGAAGAGAAAAAGAAAGAGAGAGAGAAAGAAAGATAGAGATAGAGATAGAGAGAGAGAGAGAGAGAGAGAACTCATTTAAAATCGACCATTTCAAGAGATTGACTCGTTTGCACTTACGATCCCGGCCCACCTTCCCATATACAGTCCTTCAATTGCATCCAGCGTTACGGTTGTGAATTACAATGCGAGGAAATGAGGAAGGGTGTGCCCGAGCAAAGTCAATGCGGTGCTCTCTTTAATTCATCTCGTGTAATTCATTCGTTACGTCTTAACGGAGATTATACTGTACATTTCCATATTTCATCGGTTCATTATAAAATTGCGAGAGATTTTTTTTCTTTCTTTCTTTGTTTCTTTTATTTATATTTTAAATGCAATGGTCCTCGCATTGATATCATATTAAAATCATTTTTTTTTTTACGTTTACTTCAGAATTTGCATTTAATCTTCGAATTTTGATCTTGCTATTTTAATCTCGATATTTCTTTTCCACGTTTTGATATTCCACTCACGAAATGATACATTTTACGAATTATTTAGCATATTTGTTGTGATATTCAATGCCTCGTGCGACCGTAAGCCCGTCATATAAGTCACACGTGTAACACGCTGTTGTTTGCACGTCAAGCAAATCGACATTAAGGCAGTGTGAAAAATCGGTCAAGTGAATCCGAAGCGTGAAGTATTCGACAGAAAGATGCTTTCCACATGGCGGATTTGAAATAAATTTCTATCTTCCATGGCGGGGATGTAGCCAGTGAACTCGCTCGCTCAAGATACTTATCTGAGCGAAGAAGGAAGGTTGAAAGAAGCAGGTTCGATGGCTGTTCTGCGTGGGAGAATAGCTCCTACCGAAACGCATACGGCGCGATGAATGGCGTAACGAAATCGTAACAAAAAAAAACTCGGGCATATGACAAGTCTTTGTGCGCAAACGGAACTTCAGGTTGTTCCCCTTGCACTTCTTACACGTAGGTGTTTATCGCGTATGTTTGCTATTTGTACACGTCCCTTTATTAGCTAGTCGAATGATGATCGAGTAAATCTTGATTAGCAATCAAGAGAAAAAGGAGGAACGGTGCTTGTGTGTGTGTGTGTGTGTGAGAAAATTACAACGAGGAAACGTATGGATATGTGTCATAGGTCATTTGTCAAATAATGAAGAGAGATTTGCTTACGTAATCATACGCGTCTATATATAATAATTTAATAAGCATTTACCTTATATTGGAAAAACGTTATTAAAAGCGCGACGTAATAATGGATGTATTAGTTATTACTGACAAGTTTGCACGATTGCTTGCTATTACGGATGGATGATACTCGTCGTAGAAGCGAAGCTCATACACTGCTCTCTGAATTTAGCAACCACCTGGTATAAATGGCCGAATGTGGTAATTATACGCAAGTCAGTCCGCCATCCATGCAACATTAACGTCTAAGGGCCTTGGGCTGTGGGAGGTTTCAGTAACGTGTATCGGAGAGGGCAGGAACGAGTTGCAGCCCTAATATTTTGACGTGGCCTAATGAAACAATGCGAGGCACACCGTCCCGAAAGCGCGAGTGAGAGGATAAACATGGTGCAGGTCGGCCTGGTCTCGGTGCGAAGAAGACGGACACGAGGAATGGAAGAAACCACGAAATTGTGGACGGGTCCTCCGTCTCGCCGGAATTATTGCTTGCGCGCACCGGCGGAAGCAGCTGCGTTATAAATCTGCATTTTCGACAGGTGTTGCGTTGATTGCATTGCATCGGCGATCTGAAGGAGCGTCTTTCAAGCGTCATCCGCATCCGTGGGAATTGCAAGAGTCGAGGACAATACTGTGTTTGTTGCGAGGTTCATGCTACATTAATGCTACAATGTTTCGCGCAGCTCACATACATATCGACGTAAAATGTTCTTCTGACACTTCCGCAAAATTCTGCATATCAGCGCGACATTGAACGTTTATTCAACAAATTACTCATTTTTCATATATATAATGCAACATTTATATTACACTTTTTAACAGGATTCATTGAATTATACAAATTAGTGGACGGCATAAATTTTCGAATAAATATATGAAGATGCATATAAAAATACGGAGAGTTAAACATTTTTTTCGTTTTTCTGATTTTAATTTATTACATTTGACGAAAGGCATGCAGAAATATACGAAATGGCTGACTACCTCAGCCAATGATTGGACTTCGATTGGCGGCCATCGAAGCGGCCGACACTCTCGAACTGGTCGATGCATCGTCCTGCCGCAGGTCTAATCACGTTCCTTTTTCTCGTACGTTTTCTCGACGGTAAGGGAGACCAAGGGTCAGTGATTGGTCGAGACGGGAGAAGGGGCCTATGCGGCCCTAAGGCCCCCATCCGAGATCGGCCGTCCTACCACCACGGGGATACCTTTGACGGGTCGGCAATAAGAACAAGTATGAAATCAACCTCCCGACAGACAACAGACTCTATCAGATGGTAATTATGTGTATGGCTGATACAAGGAGATACGGCCCGATATGCACCTATATCCGAAATCTATACTGGGTGTCAAACTCTGAAATAGAATCCTCCATTAATGAAATGCCAGCTCGAGTGAACGCTCGACTATACTTTGCTTATAATAATGCCAGATCAAGTGCGAGAAAAATTCTCTCTCTACTCGAGTTTGTTAGATATTGTGACACTTTACGTCAACATCTTTTCGATATCATCGCGTTACGTAATTTTTGAGTATAGTGTTCCGATGGGATAATTACACGAGCAGGTGCGATAGCTTCAAGCCGTTAAATTACGTGTACACTGAAATAATCTGGCATGTGCGCCATCAAATTGATTAAAGGACATACTACATCATTTTCTTAACATTGCGTTACTCGATCTTTTTCAAATTTATCTCGAAAAACGCCTGTTATGTTAAGAGAATTTTTTACTGAGAGCAAAATAATTATATAAATACATTAACATATCTGTATTGCTTAACGATTTATAATATCTAAAACGTTAAATATGCTTTTTAAACAATTTGTTCTTCGAGTCTTGAAAATAAGAGCTTGTAAAAAGGGTTTAAGGTAATAGATCGCTTTTGGAGCACCCGGTACGTAAAATACGTTCGAGACGGTACGTTAGCGACTGACATTATGAGTGACGTACGATATGGAGGAAGGCATCGGGCAGTCTATAATATATAATAAAAATGCATCCACACGCCTCGATGAGTTGATTGTCTGCTTGTCCGGATGCCAAAACGTCCGAACTCGTGCATTTCATATCGCGTTTTATGCATTTACGAAGCACCCCGCTCCTTCGTACTCGGGTGGTCAAGGAATCGGCCCACGGCGCTCTTTCGTCGTCCCGCGTCGTCGTCGAATAATAATCATAATAATGAGAAATTCTTGCTTATCTTCGATTATTTTTGGATTTAACGGTGTTTGAGGAATAACCTTTTTAAACGTTCTTCTTCAAAATTTTCATGGGTTATTACGTAATCAACATACGCCTTATTCAATCTTTATTTATTATGTCAGTATCTCTCAAATATTTTATTTGCAATGCTTGCGTTTTATTGAACGTTCTAAATTAAAAGAAGCGAGTGTTTCTTCTAGATAAACTTTTTCTACAAAAACATGCAATAAAAAAGGAGATGATAAAACAATTCATAATTGCTATTTAACAATAATAGATCATTATGATTGAGTTAAGCGTTTCGCAAACATGGACTTCACAGTAACTATACATTTTGACATTTCATAATCCTGTTCTTATTAGTCAAGCAATCGGAAGCGAATATCTCAGCTGTTTTTAAATTGACGAAACTCCTGCGAAATACCTCTCAAGTGGTGTCCACTTTTACATGCTTGACTTTTTCCCTTTGCTCTCTTCCCTCTATCTATCTATATCTACCATTCCGTGAGATGAAACATTCGCAAAGGAGCAAAGGAGGATGTTTTCTGTCGGAAGATCACGAGAGATAGAGCGAGAGCGAGAGAGAGAGAGAGAGAGAGAGAGAGAGAAGGGGAAGGGAGTGAGAAGATAAGGGTGGTTGGTAGTTACGGAAGACGGGGGGTTGAAGGGGCGGGTATTTGTGTAATATTCCGTTTGTCTTGCCTTCAGAGCATCCGCTAATGTACACAACACCGACGCGCGGGGGGAAGGGTAGAACGAGAGTGGAAAGGGGTTGGTTTGAAGACACTCGGCAGTAGAAGCGAAGATGTACCTAGGACGACGGGAAGGAGCACCGGCAGCTACTACTAGGATTGTTATTGTACAATTTGCTAAGACTAAGGCACATCCAGTGTTGAGTGTGAGGGAAGCACCTTTGGACATCAGCCGAGGTATCACACAGAGCGCCTAGTTGGTCCTCCTTTTGCCTGCGAACCGACTTGTTCCGCGCTTGGAAGATCTATTGTCTCAATCCGCGACAAGTTCGACGAAAAGCTTATAGATCAGCATTGATGAATTGCGCCGACGCGAACGACGATTGGACGAACAATCGGATAGCTTGCATCGTATCGAATTGATTCGCGATAATCAAACAAATCATTTCCAATTAGCTGGCACACGCGTACGACTAGGAGGTCTAAAGTTTCGCTGTTGACCAAGATCAAAGCAGAGGACCAGTATTCCGCAGATCCGTGAGAGAGTGTCTGGTTAATGCCAGCACAGGCTCTTCTCTTTACCGTTTGAAGCAATAACGAAGACGTTTGTTAACCGGCGATAACTTCGCTCTGATTCTTGATGATAAGATCACAGTAAAGTTCTCTGTTGCGTCCATTGCGTTAGCCCGTTTGTAAGCGGAATTTGGAGCTGGTGTGATCAACTCTCAACGAAATATCTTTCGAGAAAATACTGTAGTCACAGTTCGTATAATTTACTGTGTTTTACATTATTTTTCAAATTTTCATTGTTACGAATAAATAAAAAAATTATTTTGATTCCACAGTATCGACATTTTAAATTATACACATATTAAAATTACACTGACTCTTAAAAATCTCTATTATATTTGCATACGCTAACAATGTTATATCATAAATCTACAAATCAAAGATGCCTCGCTGCTGGATTAGCTGTAACATCTGCGTGCTTTCGGAAAGAGCAAGGGGAACATTATAGCGAATGCTCCGACATCTTAACGGAATTACACGACCGGAAGTAGCTTCCTTTAGTCACACTCACTGATCTCGTCTCAGCCTCACCTACGTAAGTCTGCGGAATCGCGTGCGTTCCACGTGCAAATCGCAACTGCGAATACGGATGTTTGTGTGCGCGAACAGTCTGTCTTCGTAGGCCGAGCAAGAGGGCGGATGGCGGTAGCAAAGTGGTTGTTCTTACACAAATAAAACAGCACTTAGTACAAGTACTTATCTCCTTCGCTCCTCACTGCTCATATCCGCTTCTCTCTCTCTCTCTCTCTCTCTCTCTCTCTCTTTCTCTCTCTCTTTCTCTCTCTCTATGACAATGCCGACAATGGGAATGTGACATATGCCCGGCCTCCTACAGCAGGTAACATCACGATGCGAACTCGTATGCAAATCCACTTGGATATGCACTTCAATACGAACTATGGAGACACGAGTTTCAGCAAGACTCTTTGCTTAAATCAAAGACGCACTGTCATGATGCTACCGATTGCTCGTTTCGGTCGCAGTCAGTACATATTTTAATGATGAATTCAGCTATTAATCACCAATGCTTACCAATGATATTATATAATCATCTAGTTTATCTAGGGGTTATTTACAAACAAGAATTATCAATTTACTTCTCATCCGTGATGAGAAATAAAACGACTTAAATGATTTTAAAATTATTGGAATTATAACAAATAATTTAAACAAGTTTTATAATAAAAAAAATGGTCAAAATATATGGAAATATTCTATACATTAAAAAAATTATACCATTTTTCTAAATTAATTAGTAGTTATATACGTGCACACATTGTTGCTAAATTTATATTATATCTCTGATTTTCTTTGTAAAAAAATATGAGTAATGTTGTGTTGCTAAAAAGAACAAGGTGCGAGGGAATTTTATAAAAAAATCATTTTAATTTTGAAACGTACAAAAAGATTTGGATATAATTTCGATGGCGGTTGATCCTATTAACTCGGCGCTGAACTTTCCAATTTAGGAAATATTATTTTAGTAAAGATTAAAAAATTGTCAACAGCCATATTTGAAAAATGTGTGTGTGTGTGTGTGTGTGTGCGCGTGCGCGCGCGCGCGCTAGTACAATTACTTCTAAAATATCGTCGTTCAAAAATATACATTACTAAATAAGTCCAGAAAGAAATTATTAATGATGACGTGTTTTTATCTGACATTTATCATTCGGATTTCATTAATGTCTGATTCGAAAACAGATAAAACGTTTATAACTTATCGAAAACTATAAAATTACCTTTTACAGACCGCTAAAAAAAAACACAGAGAGCATTCTCGCGTTCTCTCATATTTGAAATTTAAAGTATCAAACATTTCCTGGATAATTAAAATCTTACATGAAACTGAAGATAGTCCATGCGCAATGTTGGATCTTTCTCGTCTTTGAGCTGGTACAAAGCTGTAAGAGTGGTGAACTTATACCGACACCTTCCGCTTGAAGAAAGTAATAGAGAAAGGGTTGACGTCGCAGATCCCGCGAAACCAGTGGCCGTGTGGATCTCGCAAAAAGAGAAGACCAGAAGAGAGGGATGGGTTAATATTTCAGGAAGATTTCCTGTAGCTCCGTTTGCGTGCGCGAGCGCGCGTACCATTGAATTCGCGAAGCTGAAGGCTGTGCCTCTCGCCCCAGCAGAGGTGGAGGGTTTAATAAGAGCCAGTGCCGGGGTCCGTTGTAATATCCGTTTTGTATAATCGCGCTGCCGGTCCTCCTTTTATTTCTGGTAATTTTTCTCATCAGAGAGCACCCGGACGCCCGGTGTCCCGCGGGACGCCCTGGGCAGTAGGACGCCCCCCTCGTTCTCTCTTCCCGACCGTTCGTGTCCATCCGCTTCGTGTCCGTCTGACAGCAGGATTCAGAGAAACGTATTAATACGTAATCAGTCGCGGGAGCTACCTTTGCTACGTTGCGCCGGATCGCTGCCTCGTTCTTTCGCTGCTTGTTTAGCATGCCGTTGCTGCCGATGGTGGTGCTGTTCGTTGCTGCTGACCTCGCAGCTAATGAGAGTATAAGTGGGGATCAGCAGCTACTACCGAGCCACTCTCTGTCTTTTGACATCGGCTGCGGGTTCAGCTTGGAAGCAGAGAGATGTTTGCAGATGGGAATTTTATTATCGAAATTTGTTTCATAATTTTATAGGGACCACTGGATATTTCCAAAGAACTTATTAGAACAGTAATAATCAATCATCGATAACTTAATAGTCCCAATGAATGTATAAATAAATTTACGTTATCCAAACAAAAATACTGCATCACCGACAACAATGTTAATTACAAAGTGTAGAAAAATTAAAAATTGTGAAAGTCGCGGATTGCGATGAAAAATTTCGCGAACGAATAATAAAAACTAAATAGTTGATATCAATTTATGGTAGCTTAACAAGCAGCGCAGAAACGTGAAATCGACCTTGGAAACAGGAAGCGGCGTGCGGTATTCAGAATCCACGCAGTTGAAACCGACAGAGTCCGTTGGGTTACCCGATCGTTCGTATCACTCGGCTATCGGCCCATTTGAATGCCGGGGTCAGATCGGGGGTCCGATCGGTTGCGCTCAGACTGCGTCTTTCTTCGTCTCGCCGCGCATTTAAATATTAGCCTCCTACGAAAGGCCTATTGAAGCACCTCGCAGGTGCACTTCTACGGTTTTGCTTTCTTCGCGTGCGGGAAACGCACGTCTGAAGGCGCGCCCTTGGAGGGATCTTGATTTCCCATTCTCAGTTGGGTGCCTCCCTCTTCTGCTCTTGTGTCCTCTCCACTTCGATGAAACCTTTTGGACAATGCAACGTGCGCGATCGACCCGTCAAAGGGTGCATGGGAATATTGTAGGCTTGCGTAAGAACCTTGAGCCCTGCACGCGCACATCTTGGAGGGATCGAGGAAGAAGATCGTTGGCGAGAATCGATCGTCGTCCAGCTGCGTTGGTTTAGCTCTTTCAAGCGTGTAATATGTGTTTGCGCAGGGACGGGTTTATAATAAATAGGTTTTGTCCTTGAAAGATTCGCAGAGAGATTTCCTTTTTTATTCTAAATACTATTATTGACTTTAATGATCTAACGGCTGATTTGTTTGATCACATTTTTTTATTTTATTGACACTTCTTTTACTAAATATGATTGATAAACTACTAATTCAATAGTTTATCATTCATATTTACCGTTTTAAATGATCGTTGTTAATTTAAAAAAAAAACCTAATAACAGTTGTTAGATGTAATTTATTATTACCATGCGTATGAATGCGCAGACCAATCAAATTGAAGCTGAAACTATTATAGTGTCGCAAATAAATACTAAGAATACGCATTAATCTTCGCGAGTTAATCTGGTAGAAATTAACAGCGATATCTGTGAAATCTCTATTTAAGAAAGTGATGCAGATCGAGATGGTTTGAAGTCTTCTAGATTGACGTGACACATCTCGATGAAGCCGGCGGGCCTCGTTTTGATTGCTCTCTTTTTCTTCTTGCACGTATTAATATTAATAGCTTGCTGTTTTTAGATGAAGCCAAGCTCGCGAATGAGCTTTTGATTCGATTCGGCCTCAGGGATCGTACGAAGACGGTTTTTCCTTGTCGTAATAACGTCGCCGCTCGGTACTTCGATAAGTATGTATGTGAGCATGTTGTGCGTTTGTATGTATGTGCATTACGTGTGTGTGTGTGTGTGTGTGTGTGTGCGTGTGTGTGCGCGCGCGTGCGC